GTTGTTAACCAATGTCATAAAACAGCATGTGTGTTACTGTTACATGAGAAACTATCTGTTCTGTAAGCCTTCACCTGAAGTACAATAAAATATTTAAAAAACAACAACAACAACACTGTAGTATATCCATACCATGGAATGTTATTCTGTGATAAAAGGAAACATGCTGTCAAGCCACGAAAAGGCATGGAAGGATCTTAAATGAATATTACTAAGTGAAAGAAGCCAATCTGAAAACACTCATACTGTATGATTCCAAGAATATGTCGTATGAAAAGCAAAACTACAGACAGTAAAAAGATTAGTGTTTGCCAGGGGAAAGACAAAAGGGGAAAGGGATGAATAAGTGGAGCACAGAGGATTTTTAAGGTAGTGAAGCTGCTCTGCATGAAACTGTAACGGTGGACGCATGCCATTGTAATCAAAACAGCCTGGTACTGGATCAATGAAAAAAACATAGACCAATGTAATAGGATTGAGAACCCAGAAATAAATCCATCCATCTACGGGCAGCTGGTTTCTGACAAGGGATCAAAGTCCATTCAATGGGGAAGAAGCAGTCTCTTTAAAAAATGGTACTGGCAAAGCTGGATATTTATTTTCAGAAAAATGAAACAGGATCAATACCTAACACCAGACACAAAAACTAACTCAAAATGGAGCAAAGACCTAAATGTTAAAGCCAAAGCTATAAAGTTCCTGAACGATAACAGGGACACAACTATAGGACCTGATTTTTTTCAGTAACAGATTACCAAACGCAACGAAAAATGCACGAGCAATGGAAGACTACATAACTGGGACCTGCTAAAAATTAAATATATGCAGTCATCAAAAAACTTTATAAAAAGATTAAAAAGAGAACCTACACGTTTGGAAAAAAAATCTTTGAGAATGATATATCTGATAAGGGTCCAATCTCTAAACTATGTAAAAACAACAATTCAACAACATAAAGACAAACAACCCAATTAAAAAATGATCAAAGGACATAAACAAACACTTCACCAAAGACAACATTCAAGTGGCCAACAAACATGAAAAGATGCTCGTGATTATTAGCCATCAGACAGATGCAAATCAAAACTACAATGAGGTATCATCTCACCCCTGCAAAGATGACACTGATCAAAAAAACAGAAAACAACAAACGCTGGCGAGTTTGCGGGGAAATTGGAACCCTGCTCCACTGCTGGTAGGACTCTAAATTGGTTCAGTCACTGTGGAAAATGTATGGCACTTCCTCAAAAAGCTAGAAATACCCTATAATCCAGCAATCCCACTCCTAGGCATGTACCCTAACCCATAGCTGTTGAGTCGATTCTGACTCATAGCGACCCTATAGGACAGAGTAGAACTGCCCCATAGGGTTTCCAGTGAGCGGCTGGTGCATTCTAACTGCCGACCTTATGGTTAGCAGTTGTGCTCTTAAGGACTGCACAACCACGGCTCCAGGCATATACCCTAGAGAACTAAAACTACAGACACAAACATATGTATGCACACCTATGTTCACTGCAGCATTATTCACAATAGCAAAAAGATGGAAACAACCTAACTGTCCACCAAAAAAGATGAATGAATAAACAAAATATGGTATAAACATACAATGGAATACTATGCACCAATAAAGAATAATGTTGAGTTCTCAGAATATACTATAATGTGGCTGAGTCTGGAGGACATTATGGTGAGTGAAATATGTTAATCACAAAAGGACATATACTGTATGATCCCATTATTATAAAAAAATGATAGGTATATATATATACACATACAGAAAGCAACATTCTTTGATGGTTACCAGGGATGGGAGGGAGAGGAGGGGGAATCACTTTCTAGATAGTACACACTTGTTAGTTTTGGTGATGGGTAAGGCAATACCCAAAAAGGGTGAAGTCAGCACAACTTGACCAAGATAAAAGATGACACTAAGTACACAAGAAAAAAGGACAATCTCGACAAATGCTATAACAGATACAATTTTGCAACAACAGTAATAACAACTAAAAAATATGTGTGGTTACATAGGTAGATATGTAAGCTTATATATATGTGAAGGAGCCCTGCTGGCACAGTGGTTAACAGCTACAGCTGCTAACCAAAATGTCAGCAGTTCGAATCTACCAGCCCCTCCTTGATAACCCTATGAGGGAGTTCTACTCCATTCTTTAGGGTCGGTATGAGCCAGAATCGACTCTATGGCAACGGGTATATGAATTGTTTATTTTTAAAAAAGAAAAAGAAAATCACAATGAGATGCCATTTTACTCCCACTAGGATGGCAAGAAGGAGCCCTCGTGGTGCAATGGTTAAACACTCGACTGCTAACTGAAAGGTTGATGATTTGAACCCACCCGCCACTCCAAAGGAGAAAGATGTAGCAGTCTGCTTCTGTAAAGATTACAGCCTACGAAACCCTAAGGGGCAGTTCTACTCTGTCCTATAGTGTTGCTATGAGTCAGAATCAACTCTACGGCAACAGGTCAACGGGTAGGATGACTAAAATTAAAAATGAATAACTAAACAGAAAATAAATGTTCGTAAGGATGTGGGGAAATTGGAACCCTTATCCATTGCTGGTGGGAATGTGAAATGTACAGCCATTGTGGAAAACAGAATGGAGGTTCATCAAAAAACTAAAAATAGAACTACTATATGACCCAGCAATTCCACTTCTAGGTGTATAGCCAAAAAACTTGCAAGCAGAAATTCAAACAGATACTTGCACTCCACTGTTCAAAGCAGCACTACTCACAGTAGCCAAAATGTGGAAATAAACTAGATGCCCATCTACGGATGAATGGATACACCAAATGTGGTACATGCATACAATGGAATATTATTCAGCCAGTAGAAGAAATGAAGTCTTGATACATGCTACAATGTGGATGGAGCTTGAAGACATGCTGAGTGAAATAAGTCAGTCGCAAAAGGACAAATATTGTATGGCTTCACTTATATTAAAAGTCAAGAAAAGACAAATGTATAGACATCAAGGTTTATTAGTAGTTTCCAGTGGGAAGATGGAGCGGGAGAGGAAAGTATGGCTTATGGAGTACTGAGATTTGGTTTATGGTGATGGAAAAATATCATTGATTAAGGGTAGTGTTGCACAGCTGATTAATGTAATTGCTGTCAATAAGTTGCATATCCGTTTAAAGTTGAATTGCCAAAAGTTGTGTAATAGATTTATAACAATGACAAAAAAAAGAGTAGCTGCTGAGACCGCTTATGTACGACCAAACACCTCCTGGGATTTGGTTCCTTCATTTGGAGGTTTAGGGTCATGGTTTCATGGAATATACCAGTTAATTGGCCTAATATCTTCTACCTCCTAGTTTGCGAAGTAGCACTTCTAGTGCCTGGGGTCTTAAAAGCTTGCAAGTGGCCATCCAAGGTACAACAATTGGTCTGTACTCATCTGGAGCAGCAGAGGAAGCAGAGTCAGGAATAGGAGGAGGAAACGCCATGACACCAGAAGAACAGGGTGGTGCTTGACTACCATTACTGAACATTTAGATCTAAGATTCTATAGAAGAATTCTGATCAAAAAGGGGTTAAAACAGACGAGAATTTCAAATTCTCATGGAATCCAGATATTCTGGAGCCATAGAGGCTGGATGAACCCCCAAAACTATTGCCTGAGATTATCTTGACACCTTAAACCTTAAACCAAAAATGTTCCCTGAAGTCTTCTTAAAACCAAACAATACTTTAGCTTAACTAGTAAAGAATGTCTTCTTTGAGCATTGTGCTCTTTAAAGATCTATCCACATGGGATCAAACTGACAACACCAACTTGAAAGATTAGATAGGAAACCTAGGAGGAGTGAGTTTGTGGAGGAGGAACAACTCAGAAAAGGAGGGTGAGAATGGTTGCACACTCAAAGAATGAAATCAATGTCACTGAATCATATTGTAGAAATTATTGAATTGTGTATATTCTACTGTGTGTATTCTCCACAACAAAAATAAAATAAATTATAAAAAATAATGATAAAAACTTTAAAAGCTTGTGATTTATAGATACAAGAGCCACAACTACACTGGAGAGCACAAGTTCTTTCAATAATCTTTCCAAGGGAAAAAAACTTGAGAGATTCTATGATTAAGGAGATTCTCTGGGCTGGTAAATGTGTATGCACATTTGCCAGTCGCTCTCAAGCCAAAATTCATTCTACTGTAAACAATGGGACTTTAGGAAGCTACAGCTGATGACTCGGCCTCTCTCATATCTTGCTGCTGCTCCTTTCTTGTATCCTTAGCTAGTTGTTAGCAAAGATTAATGCTGGGGAAGCTTTGTATTTCCTGTGAGTCTACATGACAATTCCCTGCTTTGTGCAGCCTGTCTTCTAAAAAGGGGACCCTCTGTAATTTCATCTTTATGTCAATGCTTTAGGCTGCCATGATTTCAATATGAATAACAAGCAGTGCCAATAAAAAATATAAACTTTTAGTATATGTTCTTATACTGTAATGGATTTACCTCTCTTAAGATATAGTATTGCCACCATTACCTACAGTTGTTGCCAATTTTCCCATCACCATAAACAAAAAACTCACTGCTCCCTAAACAATGGCTCTCCCTTTCCCGAATATAATTGATATCCTTAAGTTGTACACCTGAAAAATGTTGAATTGAAAAATGTTGTTATGTATATACTTACAATAAAATGCATATGTATGTATGTGTATGCATATTGCATATATATATAGATCCCATGCACAATAGGATCAGACTTTTGTGATCCGTAGATCACATATATACCCTGTGGATCACAAAGCTCCGATCTCATTGTGCATGGGGTACACCTATGTATCGGCGGCAGCTCACAACAGCAAGCCATAGGTGGCTACCGAGCACTTGAAACGTGCCTAGTCTGAATTGAGATGTAGTGTAAGTATACAGTACACATTGGATTTCCAAACTTAGCACCAAAAAAGGTTAACTATCTCATTAATAATTTTTAGACTGATTACATGTTGAATTAATACTACCCCAGATTTTATTGTTAAATGAAACGTATTATTAAAATTTATAAAAAGATATAGCATTGAATAAGGCAATAAAAAACAAAAGGAAACTTTTAAAATACCTTTATTTTTCTCATTGGGTGGCTATCCCATCACACATTTCATCTGCTGTACAATTTTATTTGGATATTTCTGCTGATCTTCACTACTTCATGATGTGTTTCATTCCTTGGATTCTTCAGTGCGTGTTATTATCAATGTTTCCACTGTATTAAAACAAATTAATGGGATACTCAGTACTCCAGAGAAATGTCGTCAAGTTCTTTCAACCCATCTTACATAGTCAAAAAAAAAAAAACTTGGTAGGTGGCCTTATACTACCCTGTGGACCTGAGAAAGACGCACTCTGAGAGAGAAGAGACCGTCTTCTACATTCTTGTCTCGTTACACAGAAAGTACCATTCAGAAGGTAAACACTATGCCCTATAGGAAAGTGTCAGTTGCATACATACAGATTTGGTTAGGGTTACGGCATTCCAGATCCGAAGAAAAGTTTGGTAGACTTCTCTCTGCTTCTTACTTTTCCTTATGGATTGCTCCTCCAGGAAAACATAAATGCAGCTAACGCGTAATGAAACACCTGTGGTATTTCCATATAAACATCATTTAAGATAAAGCTGATCATTTGGAATATTTCTCTAACCTGGCACCTAAAAAGCAACATGCAAGCTAGGAAGGCCACCTAAGAGTTCGTAAACACCTAAACAACTTGGATTACTGGAACAATAGGAGTAATGCTTTGATGTCTGTTCTTCATGCCTCTTCAACCACCACCAGCAGAGTGGTCAGAGTGCCACAGAGGAGGAAGGTATGTTCCAAGACACATGCTAGGATTTCAATAGATTGAATTTTGGAAGTTTGCTTTATTCTCACTCCAGCACCCTCAACCCTCACCCCACACACTTACACACACTCCCCACCAACATTGATGGCTCCAGTCCAAAGGTGGTGGGATGACAGACTGACAGGAGAGAAGGAAAAGAAAAGATAGAAGGCAATTTTTATGTAAGAAAATGTGCTTTTAGACCAGACTTAACTGGTCTGACAGAGGCTGGAGAAATGCAGAGAGTATGGCCCACGGACACCCTTTTATCTCAGAACTGAAGTCACTCCTGAGGTTCACCCTTTAGCCAAAGATTGTAGTTGTTAGGTGTCATCCAGTCAGTTCCAACTCATAGTGACTCCACGTACAACAGAACGAAACACTGTCCGGTCTTGCGCCATCCTCACAATCGTTGTTATGCTCAAGCCCATTGTAGCAGCCACTGTGTCAATCCCAAGATTAGACAGCCACACGAAACAAAATGAGATTAAATGGGCACACCAGCCCAGGGGCGAGGAGAAGGCAGGACAGGACAGGAAAGCTGGTAATGGGGAACCCAAGGTCAAGAAGGGGAAAGGGTTGATAAGTCGTGGGGTTGGCAACCAATGTCACAAAACAATATGTGTATTAATTGTTTAAACAGAAACTAATATGCTCTGTAAACATTCCTCTAAAGTACAATAAAAAAAAAATAAACGGAAACTAAAATGTGCTTTTGAAGCAGGAAACACATTGAGAGCAGAATCCACATTACAAACCAGATCCTCTGTATTTGGATAAGATAAATTAGAATATTGCCCAAAAATTATAACTTTTGTTGAAGTTCCAATAAAGTTATTGAACTTTTTTTGACATGTAAGATCTTATAAGGAAATAAAGCCATGCTCTTTGCCCTAAATGTGACAACAGTTACACCCTCCACGGTAGTTAGAACTCTTGAGTTGTCAGTTCAGATTCCTCTGTCTGCTTCTGCAACATTGTTTTATCACTGACTGTGAATCTCATCTAACTTGGATGATGAACTTATGCCCGTGGAGACTTCCTTTTCTCTCCTACTCTCTTGAACAACTCTGGTGGGATGAGAGTTTTTAGCACAAGCAGATAAATTAGAAATGGAAAAACTCTTTAGGCCATCAAATCCTCCCCTAGGTCGTCCCTCTGAAAATGCAGTTTTCATAATTGCACATTAAGATAAATGTTTTTCCCCAAATTTTCCCATTTTACTTGCTTAGACATGCTCCAAACAGATGATCAGTATGTGGCATCTAGATTTCCTAGGACATAAACAGGGGGTGGCAAAGCTGCACACTATGCTGCAAGTCACAGCTAGATTAATAAGTCAAGATACCTACCTAGCAGGACTTTTAATCGGAACGTGGTTTTTCTTGTGGCTGGACAAAGTGACTTAAATAATCGCAGTAGCTTTTGTTCACAGCACATTAAAGGGTTGTCACAGGGAAAGGCCTTGTGGTAGAAACAGCCTTGGCCCTGGAGTGAGGAGGCCTGGATCCCAGTCCTGCCCTGTGGACAGGAACCTGGGGTGGAAGAAGGGCCAAGTGTCTCCGCCATTCTGGGGTCTGCATTTCCTCACTGTTAAAATAACAGGAGATAGGCTCATCTCTGAGATGCCTCCACACTCTAGCATTCTACAAAGATGACTTCAGAGGACATAGAGTTGTAAAACATGGGTGCATGCACTCTCGAAGCACCCGACCTGAGCTACAGTCACAGTTCCACTATGGGTGAGCTGTGGGGCCCTGACCATTTGCTGAGCTTCCTTGGTGATGAGCTTCATCGTCTGAATAAGGGGATAATAATGGCACCTATCCCCCACAAGTCTGTCAGTTTTTGTACTGTGGGGGCTTTTGTGTTGCTGTGATGCTGGAAGCTATGCCACTGGTATTCTAATACCAGCAGGGTAGCCCATGGGGGACAAGTTTCAGCTGAGCTTCCAGACAAAGACAGACTAGGAAGAAGGACCCAGCGGTATACTTCTGAAAAGAATTAACCAGTGAAAATCTTATGAATAGCAGTGGAACATTGATATAGTGCCAGAAGACAAACACCTCAGGTTGGAAGGCACTCAAAAGACGACTGGGGAAGAATTGCCTCCTCAAAGCAGAGTCAACCTTAATGAAGTGGATGGAGTCGAGCTTTAGAGATCTTCATTTGCTGATGCTGCATGACTCAAAACGAGAAAAAACAGCTGCAAACATTCATTAATAATTGGAACGTGGAATGTGTTGTCGTTAGGTGCCGTCGAGTCAGTTCTGACTCATATCGACCCTATGCACAACAGAACGAAACGCTGCCCGGTCCTGCGCCATCCTCACAATTGTTGCTATGCTTGAGCCCATTGTCACAGCCACTGTGTTAATCCATCTCTTGAGGGTCTTCCTCTTTTTGGCTGGTCCTCTACTTTACCAAGCAAGATGTCCTTCTTGAGGGACCAATACCTCCTGATAACGTGTTCAAAGTATGTGAGACGCAGTCTCGACATCCTTGCTTCTAAGGAGCATTCTGGTCGTACTTCTTCCAAGACAGATTTGTTTGTTCTTTTGGCAGTCCATGGTATTTTCAATATTCTTCACCAACACCACAATTCAAAGTAGTCAGTTATTCTTCGGTCTTCCTTATTCACTGTCCAGCTTTCACATACATATGAG